GTCAAAAATCTAAAAAAAACAAGCTTTTTCTAGCTGTTAACAGCTTTTTCTCGGATATGTGTCATCCAGTTTTGTTCAAAGTTGGTACAGGGACAGGTAATAATTGTTTACAAGTGCACATCGCATTATATGTTTAACAAGTTATAAATTGTCTCAGAAAAGCCAAATGAATAAATTTTTACCCTACCCCCTAAAATTGTAACATCAATTCTGAACATTTAATAACAGAATTTTAATACAGCTCATAATGAATTAATTCACTTTGACACAAACTAAGTTCAATGCAAGTTTTTAAATTTTTTTCTGAGCGGAGGCTCTGACATGACATGTCATGTCTTGTTATATAATCTACTGATACTCATAAAACTATTATTATTAACCTGTAGGGGATTTTATGACTAATTATCTTCAAAGTTTGTATTTTTTAGCCCCCATTGAATCTGGGATCCGGAGGGGGCTTATAAATTGAGTCGTATTTGTGTGTGCATGTATATGCGTTACCAGCTTGTTCTCACACATGTGTAATCTAATTCAGTACAGGTAATGAGGTTTTACAAGTGCACATGAAGTTATTTTTTGATTGAATAAATTTTGAGTGGTTGGCGGCCGTTTTTGTCTTCAAAAATCAATAAAAAAACGTTTTCTAGTCGTTACCAGTTCTTCTTCAGATATGTGTCTTCCAATTCAGTTCAAAACTGGTACAGGTAATAAGGTTTTACAAGTGCACATGAAGTTATTTTTTGATTGAATACATTTTTACTGCTTGGCAGCCATTTTGTCCTCACAAATCTAAAAAAAAACAAGCTTTTTCTAGCCATTACAAGCTCAGATATGTGTCATCCACTTTTGTTCAAAGTTGGTACAGAGACAGGTAATAATTCTTTACAAGTGCACATCACGTTATATGTTGATCAAGTTATTTATATGTTGATCACATTATTTATTTGGCTTTTCTTATATTTTTTCACCCCATCCCCCTAAAATTGTTCTACATCAATTCTGAACAATAACAGAATTTTAGTACAGCTCACAATAGATAAATTCACTCTGACACAAACCCAGTTCAATATCAGTTTTAAATTATTTTCTGAGCGGGCGCTATGACATGATTTGTCATGTTTTGTAAATTATAACATGTTTAAATTTGCAGCCTGCTGTTGATGCTGGAAAAATCAAAGAGTACATTAAGAAAGCTGTAAAACAGGCATCTGAATTCAACATGTTATTTAATAGAGAAAGAAAAGAAGAAAGACAAGCTTATTATGATATGCAGACTTCAGTGAGTAATATATTACCATATAATCTGTATTAGAAGCCATACACATTTTTTTGGAACAATTGAGACCTAAAAAATCATCATTTCTCGTATGTATAGATGCTCTAATAGAAGCCGCATCACCTCTGTTGCATTGCACCATTTTAATAGAAGCCACAGCTTTTAATACAGATTTTACAGTACTTTATTTTTTACTTGTATCAATGTTGAAACATAGTTAAACTCTGGTAACCTTGCCCTTTGTTATATAATATTATTTCCTTTATCATAATTAATTTTAAATACAAACAAGTTTTAGGATTGAAACAGCAGTAAAGAATGCCCAGCCACAGAGACATAAATGTGTTGAGGTAGTGAGAAGGGAAATCTTCATTTTTTTCTTGATTTTTCAAAAATTGATAAAACGGTTACTTTAGATCTTGATATATCATTCAAGCTTTTCAAAAGATTGAAGTTTCATAAAGACGCTGCTCAAATTAGTCTTTTATGAATCTATTCATGTCTAAATGCAGAACTTTTTTTCTGAGATGGGACATTTGTTTTTATAATAACAAATCTGAATTACTTTGAATAAAGCTGGAAATTATGTCCCTTAAAATAATTAAACAAATTAGGCACCATTGTTTTTGTAAGATATTTACATCTATCAAGGACATTTGGTAGACTGATTCCCCACAGTTGTTTCAACCCCAAAACTTGTTTGTATTCAAAATTAATTATAACAATGCATATTCCTATTGAAACAAACTATGATAAAGGAAATAATATTATATAACAAAGGGCAAGGTTACCAGAGTTCAACTATGTTTTCAGATGAGTTTTGATCTTGTGTTTGCAATTACATATTCCACATTTTGAATATTTTGCATTTCAAGTTTACAAAATTTTACCCAAATCATTTTAACTAAAGGACATCTGACTAGGAGGTGTAATAATGTTTCATCCTCTAAGTTGCAAAATGTACATTTACTAGACTGAACAACACATCTGGCATTATTTTGTGAAGCCTGACATTTGTCATCAAGATGTTGTGATTCACTTTCCACTGGAACTCGCATAGTTTTGTGTCAATTGTTAATTTAAATGGTAGCCTATAAATTTCTTCCCACATTGCAATTGTCTTTTCTAACATTACTGCAAAAGTAGTCTCTGATCGAGGGGATATGAAATACTTGCCAATGATACCAGGAGTAATCAAGTTGGTTGTACAATGTTTTAAATATTAATGTGCATTAGTGAATCTGATACCAATCATTTGATCTTGTCCTTCAATATCAAACTTTGACAAATCAGCTGGCTTCCACACTGAAAGTAATGTTGAAACCAAGCTGTACCACTTTAGATAAGCATTCTGTGAAACACCCTTGCCTACATACAATGTATATTACCTCCATCATTGAATAAATTACCTACATAAATCAATTCAGCATCTACAAATTCTTTAAAGTAAATATTACAGCCACCAATTGTTATGTTGCAATTGTTCCATATGCACTGATTGAGGTAGTGCTCCTCCAATTTATGGTCAGACACTGATAGCCAGGATTGTAAAAATGAAAAATGTTAAAATGAAATTTGTTAAGTTTTAATGGCAGTGATTTCAGAGAAAAATTGCATTTAAGTAGCATTTCAATACCACCATTTTTTTCAAGTTTACTTTGAAGAAACCATATGCAAGGATGGTGAATATCATGATCAAAATACCATCTAAGCCAATTCATGCACTGAACATCAAAAATAGCAAATATATCTGGCATTTTTAAGCCACCTTGTTTGATACTACCAGTAGTAGTAGTAACAGTTTTCCTGGCCACCCTATCAGTACCACCCCAGAGAAAGCTATACATTAATTTGTTATTCTCTTTTAATTGGTTCATTTGTGGATCACTGAGATTGAGCACATACAAGATGCGAGATATTCCCATTGATTCAATAATCTGTACTTTACCTATTAAAGTTAAATTTTGCATTCTCCACAATTCATTTTAGCTGCAAGTTTCTTGTTGTTGTATGAAATGGATATATCAATGACTTTAATCATAGATTTCCAATTCATGTCCATGGGTTTATCTCTCCGATCCTTCCACTTGCCCAACCAAAATGCCTCACACTTAGTTTTGTTAACAGCCACCCCAAATACCATTCAAAATTTTGCAAGTTTCTTGAAGAGGTGGGTACAAGATGACAAACCACTCAAAACTCGTCTGCAAAAGCAACACTTTTCACTACCTTATCATGTATGGAGATCCCTTGAATATTTGAGTCTGAGCGTACCGCATTCTGAAAAATTTCTAGAACTAAGATAAACAACATAGGGGAGATTGGGTCACCCTGCCTCACCAGTACTTGCCCCTCTATTCATGACACAACTGGATATGTCAGTGTAAAGAGTTTTGATCCAACTGATAAGGACTGGTCCAAAATTAAATATCAGTGGTTTCATTTCTAGTCTTCTCACCTTCTTTTCTCAGAAATGTCACTTCACACTTTAGCGCCTCAATCTTTGCTGTGAGCTCTAGTACAGTTTCTTCATTTGAAGCAACGGCCACTTCCAGTTCTTGTTGTTTAGTTTCCACTGCTTTTGGAGTATAATTTTCCTTTCAAAATGTGGATGCAACATTTTGCCTGTTAGGTATTTTTTGCGTTATTTTTAGTCTCCGAAAACAGGGACTTATGTTTTGAGCTCTGTGTGTCCGTGCTTGCATGTGTGCATGCGTCCGCACCTGTATCTTAGAAATGTCTGGACCAATCACAATCAAACTTCACACATACATCATACATGACATTATACATATGCACATCAATTTGTTTCACGATTTGATTCAAGATGGCCATCATCAAATCATCAACATCAAGCATTTATTGGCTGTTTACAGATGGATTTTGTTCAAACTTGGTATATACCGTATTACCCCGGGCACGCGCCCAGGGGCCTGAACATACAAAATTGGGAAAAATTGGGGGTGGGCGCTTACCCGAGGACCACCCCAAAAAATACTTCAAAAAGTTGTTTTTGTGATCGTATGATAAGGTCAAATAAAGGAATGCTTTCGTACACTTTGTACACGTACTTATTTCTTGATTTATGCGAGGTTTCAATAAACGTGAGCACTCGGTCAAGAACTGTGGGAACACTAAGACACAGGGTCGAATTTCAAGAATAAAACATGTTTTATGTCAGCGAATGAAGTTGTATTACTCACGAAAATTGGCTACAAAGTATGGTAAGTATTGTAATCAATGCACGGTTACTTTTTTAGAAACCGTGATCAGTGCACGTCGAAAACGACCGGGA